ATAAATCGGTGAATTGATTATACCCTAAGAGTTTCTAAAAAGTTCCTGAGTTTGGATCGAATGCAAAAACTCGTACACATAATGTAAACGATTTCCAACATTCAGAGTTGAGTTGAGTTGAATGGTGATCCCTTAATGAATATTTTCAATGGTTCTATCCACACATATCGTTTGTAATTAGTGAATGAGTTTCAGTGAAATGTCGAACCAGTTTCTCACCTCCTCCAAAACCTCCTCCATGTCCTCCTCCAATGAAACCGCCTCCACCGCCCGATGGGGCTCCATAAGAACTAGATGGAGGACTGTAGCTGTATCCAGCTTCAGGTCTTGCACTGGCTAGAGCCACTAAGGTGGACAGCAACTGAAAATAATACAACTAATCAGTACTAAAATATAAGTAAATCGATTGACAAATATTTCTGATATTCACAAAACCCCTTTTTCAATGGAATTTTGAAAGAAGAATGGTTTCAATACCTAACATCATAAAATTTTTATTTATTTTTTAATATGGAATAGTTATCTTTCGAACTGTTTGTTACAGCAGGAAATAACATAACACTTGTGGTATTACTGGCAACTGCCCGAAAATATTCTCTAAAAATAACATTTTGGATACAAAGCCAATTTTTTTGTATTCTCGTAGTATTAAAAGTTATTTCTCATTTAAATTGAAAGGATATATTTTTAGGAGAGATTAATGTACGTGAAATTTGTCTTCTCTCATTGATTATATTGTGTAGGAATCCTGTGAATAATATCTGATTCGATTCCATTACGAATGTTTGGAATACAAACGGAATAGAGAGAAGTGTTTTTCGTGTAATTCAGCGTTCATATAAAAATATTTTTCTTTCGTGTAATTCGATGTTTATATGAAAATAGCTGTTTCGAAATGGCTTTTTCTTCCAGTTTGTGTCTGAAAGTTCTTTGCATGATCTACACATCATTGTACATAGGGTTAATTTTTTTAAATTCATTGCTTCCTTTTGTTTGGAAGAATCCGACATTTTTTTGTATCAAGATGTCGAATTAGAAAGCCAAAACTTTTCTTTTCCAAAAATTATTTCTAATGTTTGCACCATTAGAACCAATAATCTTGGAGAGAAAGCACGAAATTATTTCAAATGAATCAGCATATTTTATTACAACATTGAAACTGGGTTTCAATATCTCATGTCATTCTCCCAAGTTTGAGGTCACTGCTTATTCTTCCGATTCAAACATCAATTAGACAAATGATCCAAATGAATCATAGATGAACTCACATCCATTATAGCATGTAATCACCTGCAATAAACCTACATTTTCACTGTCAATCAACGCATTGTTTCATCATTATTTGTAATGCGGAAACTAGTGATTTCATTCTTCAATTCTTCATTACTGAATGGAGAGAAATTTTCTCGCCGCCCGTGAGTACTCTCTGACTGAATATAAATTGTAGCAAATAAGATTACATGCTAATTTGTTACAGTTCTTCAACTACATTATTTATTTTGCTATTCTTCACATGAATCGACCTCTAGTCGTGACCCGATGAACATTCAAGAACAAACGTAGTAGAAAGTACGAAATTACTTTGCTGAAACTCTTGTCAGATACTTATCACTATAAAGAAAGCTAATTCTTTGATGAACAGGAAGAAGAATACATATTTTCTACATACATGGTTTAGAGATAGAGGAATATTGTACAATTTTTTATCTGATGGAGAACTCGCTTGCATATTGTTATGAAGAACTTTTATGATGAAGATTTTTATAAATTATGACAGGAGTTTTCTCCCAACACCAAATCGTTATTTTAACCCCTCGACATGTGTTTCGATCACCAAGTGATCATCTTTATCTTATGAAAATGAATAACTCGATTCGATACACGGAAATTAAGAACATAATATTTTATTTCCAAACAGTGCTATGATTGAACTCTAATCTTCCTCTTGAAGATGATCACTTGGTGATCGAAACACGTGTCGAGGTGTTAAAATATCGATTTTGTGTTGGAAAAAAATTCCCGTAATATTCATTACTACACCAAAGGTTCCAAACAGTGCATCAAAAGTTCCTATTTAGAGTTGATGGTTTTGATTATGTAGATCTAACACATTCAATTCTTTCAGATTTTTGGAGCTGAAATGACTGAAGAACCAGTAAAAAAAGAGAAAATGGTTGACAATTTCCTTTTTAACGTTCTCCGAATCCTATACATAATCTTCACAATGTTTGGACTCTTTGTTAAAAAATCCAATCACGGTGGTGAAGCTGTACTTTCAGATTTGTAATCTTCCTTTTTTGAACGTTCATCTGAATTTTTCCAGACTTTCTACACGAAATACGTCTTTTCTTCAGTCATCAATAATCTCAGTGTGAAACGATTAACCCACAGAAACTGCGATTTCTCTCAAAGAAGAGTGACTCACACAAAATGAATTTCCTCGACGTGATTGCATACAATTTTTTTCTCATTCTGATCGAAAATGTTCTCATTATTATTTTTCAAACAATAATCTTTATAATGTCATGTGTCAATTTAAATGCCATTTCAACTACAATTCAATGCAGAAACATCAAAATAACCAAACCTTCCATATCTTGGTTGATGCAAATATAAAATTATTCCACCACCCAGAACACTTGAATTTAACTCACTTTTTTGATAATGCCAAACCCGGCCATTTCAAGAGAAGCAAATTTTCTGCGACAAATTTACATCTGAAATGATGGGTTAGCGTTATATAAAGTGTTAGGAACGAATTCTCGTTACCATTTCTCTCACGATACTCTATAAATCTTATCTCTTTCGTATTTTTCGCGAATAATTGAAAGAACAGTATATACGGAAAATGTGAAATTGTACGGACTTTTTAAAACAAAGATTGTATTGGTGAATCATATATCTCTGAAATTTTTAGAGGAGGTGGTATTCTACTAGATTTTCTCAAACTTTTACATTTCAAAAAGAATGAAAAAGTCTTCTGTTTTTCTGTTCTTCCAAATTTTCAGAGGTCATTTGTTATTTGTCATTTGTCATTTGTTTGTATGTGATATTGTATTCGTTTAAGTATTCTTCGACTATATCTACAAATAGTCTTTATATTGTAAATAAAATAGAATATGAGATTCAAATGATAATCAAAAAGAAATCAAAATGAATTATTTGTAAAACAGGGTTTGAAATAGAAAATATATGCTCACAAAAATGTTGGTTACTTTGTGAAACCACATCCTTTAATTATTTTTTGATTATTTCAAAAACTATGAATTCATGATCTTTATAGAAGTCAGAAACTTTCTATTCGTAACGGAATGAAAATGAAGGAAAAAATAATTTTAAAATGATTCAAATATTGGCTTAAAATCTCTATCATTGTGAGTTCTTTTTCGAATAAAATTTTAAAAGGATGGTTATGAACTTATCCTAAAAATAATATAATGGTTGATAATATAAAACTGCATAAATCGCTTCTACAAATATATCAGCATTACCAAAACAACCCGATTGTATCATCTTCACTTTGAATAAAATAAACAATTTATACGGCCTCAATGACAATAGTATCCAATCACTTCGTTCACTATCACTTTATAACCGATTTAATGAAAGCAAAATATAAGAAAGAGTACTACGTACCACAAATGGTTTCATGTTGTTAATTCACTAACTATTGATCATATGATACGGACTATTCATCCCATTTCATTTAAATACTGTTTTCTCCCACTAGCTCAAGAAGATTCACACCAGAGGAGCATCGGCAAGCTTTTACATTCACTTCACAATAAGAAAAATTACTTTTACTATTTTACAATGAGGTCTAATTTTGTTGAAAAGTCAAAAGTGCACATTTCAACTGTTAGGTGATTTACCTGTTTATTATTCAGTTTCACAATTTTTTATAGTCGTAGGAACAATTTCGGTACAGATTTGAAATTCAGGTGAACTTGTGCAAGAGTTATGAAAACACCCTGGGATGTTTTTATTTGTCATATTATTATTCAGTATCGACGATTCATAGTTTTTTCCGTTGGGATGTTCAGGTAACAAGAAATCTGATAATTACTAACAATCGAATCTGAATGAAAAAACAGAACCTGGTTGTAATTTATTTTTGAAATTATGAAATACTGAGTTCAATATATGTAAAGAAATAAAACAAATTAGTGGCCGTTTTTAATTTAAAAACTTAATTATATCATGTGTCTAATACGCAATATAGTTTTACCACTTCATTATTGATCAGTTCCATGGGGAAAATTGTAGAACAAGAGTACGAGTATCTAGAATTTTTCAGTTTTGTTATAGTTACTCTCAAAAAAATCATCAGATATTTAAAAAAGTTGATGAGTTGAAACTATGAAAACAAACACACTAAAAAAAGTCAGTTCCAATATAATATTACCCAAATTATATATGTTATATCTCACTAACAACATATAACATATATTTTTCAATCAACTAGATGTTTTTCTATCAGATAGACGTTATAATTACAGATTTTTTTCCTTATAACTCTTTCAATAATGAACGCATTCCGAAAATTTTCACATGAACCAATTGAAAACTGCGTGAATCCAGTAGTGTAGTCACATGAAAGAAATGCTATTATTATTATTTTCGATTTTCATCTTTGAAAAATAATAAAAATTGGCCCTGAAAACAAAGATATTCATGAAATTTGATGTTCTAGTAGACTTCTCCGATGACTACCAGATGAAAAAATATTTCCTTTCCGTTGAAAAATGTATTTGTGATGCACTGTTTGAAATCTTTGGTGTAGTAATGAATATTACTGGACTTTTATCCCAACACCAAACCGTTATTTTTAACACCTCGACACGTGTTTGAATCACCAAGTGATCATCTTCAAGATCATTTTCATTTTAATCTTCCTCTTAAAGATGATCACTTGGTGATTGAACACGTGTCGAGGTGTTGAAATAACGGTTTGGTGTTGTGATTGAACTCCAGTAATATTGAAAAATGTATGTTAAGTTTTTGTTTAGAAGACCGCGTTTAAGAAGATGAAAGAAAGTGAAATTCGGGATTGTATTATAATTCTTTCAAATCACCATATATGCTGAATATTTCCTGTGGTGTGGAAATTGATAATTCGTTCATCATGATGTTGAAATTTTCAATAAGTTTTTACCTGAAACCAGGTGAAACTATTAATCATTAGGTAGGTAGAAGGTCACATGAATCAAATTGTTATTAAGTAAAGCATAAATTAGACAGAATTTTGTTGGTATGAAAACGCTCCAGGAAGCCATTGTAGAGTGAAACACGTGTCGCGGTTTTGTGAATTGCCTGGTGAAAATGCTCAGAATGAAGTCTTACTTGAATATTCTGCATTTCATCAGTTCGGACTTCCATTGTATAATATAACAATAATAATCGTCTTTATTGTTTCCCAGCTGTAGTTACATACAATTATTTAAATAAATTACAGAGCTAGTTGCTGATGTAACAAAAGGCGAAGTTCAACTCACTAAGCACAAGTGCTACTGAGTAATTCTTCCAAGGCCGATTGACTGACTGAACAAAGCACCAACGTCGAACCGCCCGACGGATAGATCATTGTCAATCACCTTCAAACAAATAAAAAAGTTATGGTTCCTGTCAAAAATTCATTCAGATTGCAAAATAGTACTTTTTTGGTATATTTTCACTTCAAATGTTAAAAGAGGTATTTCGACACACACTTTCGCATGAGTGGATATTTTTTTAATGAATTTTCAATGAACTCTCCTTCAGAAATATGGAAAATTGGAGTTGAAAAGCAGTGTGACAAAGAACACATATAGAACAAGATCCTAATATCAAACTACATAATACTATTGATGTGAAAATATATAAAAAATTCATAAAAATGCTACAAATATCTAATCAAAATGTCGAAGGTATTTTTCTTTTTTTTTAAGGACAAAACACAAGCACTACAGGAAAATCCTTAAGGCGGTGTCTGTGCGAAAGTAGCGATTCACATTGGATTTAAATCGCTGGAGATCCAAATCAAACGTTGTCAGGAAGTTTATTTCACATAAACGCAGTTCTGCAGATGAAAGAATTCTTAAACAGTGAAGTCGAGGTGTACTGAGTTGAACCTCAAAACGATGAGCAGTCACAGTCCGCTCTTGGTGGAATCAATTGTGCCAAGTCACTTGAACATTTCCCGTGAAAGTATCTCTCTAGAGGAGAGACAAATCTCCAACCTTTCTTCGTAGTTCCAGGCTATTAAGGTTGCACGTGACGTTCACCTCTCCAATCAGGTGGATGGCTCTTTTCTGGATGGATCCAGCAACTTCAGGGTATATTTGGGAGCAGAGCTCCATACATGAAAACAATACTCCAAAGAACGTCTGATCTGAGCTTTATAAAGCATCAGAAGTTGCTGAGATGTGTACAGTTTTCTGGTTCGGAACAGTTTTCCAAGGTTTTGAGAAGCAGCCTTTGCAATTCTAACGACATGATTGTGCCAAGACATATTGGTGTCCATTTTAACCCCCAACAAACGTATCGAAGCAGAAAGCGGAATTGTCTGATCTGACATTGTTATATCCGGTTCGGAGATATATGTCTTCTTGCTTCTTGGAGAAAACCGTTACCTGGGTTTTTGTGGCATTGATATGCAACCTCCTGCTGCCGGTGAATCCGGAATCCAAATGGAATGACGAGACAAGTGTGCTGTCGTCAGCAAAGCAATATATTCACATAGGAACCAGTTATCCATGCAATATTTTCAAAACTATTTAACCCAACTGACTTTTTTTACTTTCTAATAATGACATGACAATAATGTAAGCATGTCCAAAATATACGGCCTCGGTCAATACCCATCAACACAATGACATAACGAGTCTGTATTACCATCTATAGCACTCTTATGGTATTTACGAATTCTCCACAACGAATTCAATTTGTTGTGGAAAATGAGCGGTGACGAATTTATTGAAACTACTCATTCCCAACCCAGCTAATAAGCCGGTTGTAGCCATTCTCGATTATCAAAGTAACAAGATATTGGCCGTGCGGTTTTTTGATCAGAATTGAATAAATGTCATCCAAAAAGAGAAGGAAAAGCTGTAAAAATAACAAAATTCACTCTTCGAACTCCGCAGACCACTCTGTTGAAATGTTTTTTTCTAAATATTTGAGTCCTAGAAAAAATGATATACTTGTTACTCTCTGATCTTAGCTACTTAAAACGGCATAAATCTCAACTGGACAAATGCAGAAGGCCATCTGTTATTCTCGATTTGATATATCACACTTCACAGGGCCCACGATTCTCGGACCCAATGATCATTTATTCCATGATTGTGAGATATGGTCAGCGGTTTATGATCCCGGCACGCCTTTCGAAGGGGTCTGAGCTTCGGGTCCAGGGTCGACCAGCATCCGATTTTCATGCGAAACAATAAAAATAATAATAAATTAATTCACATATTCAGATTGAAATTTCAATCACAAATCATCCTCAGTAGTTGATAAAAGATCTAACACTCCATCTTGATATACTAATTCAGTGAAATTTTACTATTTCCATTAATTATATTGTGTGAGAATTATGTAAATGATATTTGATTTTTTCCATTACGAATGTTTGGAATACAAACGGAATAGAGAAAAGTGTTTTTCGTATAATTCAGCGTTCATATAAAAGTATTTGTTTTGAAAGTATTTTTATTTCGTTTATATGAAAGTAGCTGTTTAGAGAAGACTGTTTCTTCCACTTTGTATAAAAAAGTTACACTTCTTTGCATGATCTACATATCTTTCTATAGAGTCAACTTTTTTGAAATTGATTGCTTTCTTCCTTTCTTTCGGATATTCCCACACGTTTTTGTATCAATATGGAGAAGTGAAAAGCCAAAACTTTCTTTTCCAAAAATTATTCTCTCCTAAAAATATACCTCTTTCAATGTATCTAACATCCGCTTCGAACAAATGGACAGTGAACTATAAATCAACAAATATAAATATAAATAAGTTCATAAGTGGAATATTGATTGGTAATTACAAAATAGAGGGGAAAAATCATAATGTACATTGACATAAAATCTTCCATATTCCTTGTGATACCCCCCATAATTTCCCATCAGAAGATACAGAGAAACATGAACAAGTTATAGAATTCAAAACGACTGCCATATCCAATTTAGTTTTAGGCAGTTTAGCTTCGAATTCCTCATCCAACCGATCCAATGAAGGGATGAATCATCGATTCCGTGATTTCTCACAACTTCAGTCAAAACTCTTGGGTTTAATGGGTTGAAAAATATTGGAAATACCTGTTTCATGAACAGTATAATCCAATGTTTATCAAACACGAGTTGGTTGCTGGAATATTTGACGCTGATTGACGAGAAATTGAGCGACAGCGGAAAATCGCAAGAGTCCTGGCTGAGATACTCGAACATGAACAACTCTAAGATTATAGACAATTTCGTTGGTCAATTTAAATCTACTATGGAGTGCACACACTGTGGATTCTCGTTAGTAACCTTCGATCCTTTCTGAGATTTTCTCTCCTTATACCACAAAGAACTGGCCAATTGAGTTTGTCGCAATGTTTGGATTTCTTCACAAAAGAGGAAACCCTGGATGGGTTACACACATACAATGATTCATGAAATTCCTAAAATTTATTATCAATGACTCAAAGTGCATTGAAATACAAACCCAACTACTTCCCT